CTTATTGTTTTTGTGATCCCCACTTCCAACCCCCAGACTGGACAGCTGTCAACTGTTGCTACTGCTTCTTCAAATGCAGCTACCCTCCATATCTGGAGGCCGTCTCCTCCAATCCCAATCTGAGGACGCGCCATGCCGTTGTGGCAAGAGACCCACTTAATATAAAATCGGGTCCACACCAAAAGAAAATACCCTTAATGTTATATTTTAGCGTCCTGTTGCACTGATTTATGTCCATGATTTATTCTGACTGTCTTACAGTGCATACATTTATTCACCTTACTCTTCTCTCTTGCACTACATGTTTCAGCACTAAAGTGCCATCTTCAGGTGCTTTTCGATGTACGTCGAACTACTTCATTGCATGCCCTGTTGTCTTTATACTAAAATAACTAAAATATATATTCGTTATATATATTGATAAATTTTAAATATTAAAAGTATTAAAACTGTTCAGGATTTGTCATCCTTATGTCGTATCTCAATACGCGAGTTACACCTATCTTCTTCTATCGGAGTATTCTTCCTACTTTCGTGTGTGTATTGTGCTTTGTGTTGTGTCTTGCTCCTGTGACTGCGTGTGTCCTCTTAGTGGCCTTTTTCCTTCAGGCTTTTCTGACAAACTTTTCATACAATTTCCTCCAATTCGTAAATTATGCCCTGTTTATATGGTTATGGATAGCGCAGTCGGTATAGCGACTGGCTACGGACTGGAGGACAGAGGGGTCGGAGTTCCAGTCCCATTAAGGCCAAGAATATTCTCTTCTCTACAGCGTCCAGACCGGCTCTGGGACCCACCCAGCCTCCTATCCAATGGATACCGGGGGCTCTTTTCTTGCGTTAAAACAGCAGGGGCGTGAAGCTGACAACTCGCGAGGTCAAGAAAACATGAATCTATACATCCACTCTCCATACGCCTTCATGTCGTAATGCTTAATTAGTTAAGCACAGGTCACCTTTATTTTCTATATATATGGATACAAATTATGAAGCTAATTCTCCATTCTCTTGTCTCTTCCTCCATCTTGGGTCCAAATATTCTCCTCAGCACCTTCCTCCCAAACGCATTCAACTTATATTGTTCTCCTCAGGTGTTAAGTCAGTTAACTTACGAGTATTACTTATCGACGAAGTCTGCACCGAGACTACGCGGGGCCAGTGGGAAATGGTTAATGCATATGGAGCAGTTGGTGGAAGGAGAAACGAAGTTTGGCCCCAACACGAAGCCAGCACGCAATGCATACACACGAGACAGTTGCTCGTCAATTTGCGATTGAAGTACAGATCTGGAAGTGTTGTGCATATTTCTGCATTCTCTTGCGCTCTTCGACGGAGGGGGGATGAAGTGACAGGAGGTTGGAGAAAACTGCATAATGAGGAGCTTCATAACTTGTACTCCTCTATAAACATTATTGGAATGGTATAAATGGCAAGCTATGTAGCACGCATGCCAGAGAAAACTTGCAAAATATTAGTCAGAGATAATTGCAGGGGAGATTAATTGAATGATCTAGTTCCATGAGACAATTATACTATGACGTATAAACCCATTGCTAGACAACGACTTGGTAAATACATTTCCCCGGAAGAAAAATGCGTGCAACTATAAGACGTCCATTGCTAGGCAACGGATCAGTAAATATGTCTTAACAACAGAGACCGTGTTTCCTGCCTGATCCACACAAAGTGGATATAAAAAAGTTTTCAGTTGTTGCCAAAAGTTGAGTTCCATAGAAGAGTTCATTTGAGAAACGGGTCGAGTTCTGAAGATGGGAATCTATGGGGGTTGAAAAGAAATGGCAAGGGAGGAATCAGACTGTGCAAAGAAAACTTCATATGTGATTTGAAGTGACAGTAAAACTTAAAAATCCGTTGCAAGGATACAACTAGTGAAGACCGAGAACCCTAGTGTGTGTGGGTAACGGTGAACTGTAAAGTGTGCAGAGAGGCAATAGCGTTTTATTGCCTGAAGTCTCGAGTTATGTGAACAAGGTGTCAGTAAATCCAATCATTCACTCCTTAACCCGTCTTATAAGTCACGCGTAATCAGTCTGCACGTGACAGTAATAAAATGGATCATAATGAAATACCGTGTCACACTAACACACTGTGGACTACAAAACCTGCTTCTAGTGCGGCCTCTGATGGCGATATTACTTGGGGCAAAGATGGGAGGTCCTGCGGGCCCACGTAAGAGGAGGAAGGTTGCGTGACACCATAACACGTACAAATAATTCTTAAAGTCATAGCCATTATTTCTCTAAATACTTTTATTCGCTGGTTCCTTGTTATGGAGATGTAAAGTGTTTCTTCATAGAGAAAAAGGTTAATTTGTTCCTCTGCTTAACTAATTAAACACTACGCCATGAAGTTGTATTGCGGAGTGGATGTATAGATCCAAGTAATCTTGACCTCAGCGCTAGTTGGAGGTGATGGATCAGCTCCGCGTCCAGGCCACATTATCCCAGGCAGTCATTCAACAAGAGGCTGGGTGGGCCCCAGAACCGGTCTGGATGACGTGGGGAAGACAAAATTCTTGGCCCTACCGGTATTGAACTCAGACCCTTCAGCAGTCCAGACCTTAGCCAGTCGCTATACAGACTGCTCTGTACCGGCTTCCTGTGAGGCAACAGTTACATTTATATGAGATTCACACTGCCTTGTATTTAACGTGCATCCGGAAGGTCCTGAGACCGGCCATTTGAACAGAGGTTCCGCATGACCAGACCTGGGTTCGAAGTCGGACCGCTTGAGCTACGGCGCGGCCCGTAATAACGTGCCTATTGCTTCCCTCTTCAGCTCCTCTTCTATTGTTTTCTCTTGACCCTTAAAATGTTTAAGAAAACTACTTCCTAATGTGATTTAATAGATTTTCCCCCCGAACACCCAGACTAGTGAACATTGCTTAAGCTCTTGTTGAGTACCTAACGGTTGGCCTGGTATTTCCCCCGAATTTCACATGTCTGTTATTACTAAACTCTAAGACATTTCTGACTGCACGCCACAAAGTAAAAAAAAAGAAAAGTAAAGTAAAGTAATGCTATCCCTGTACCAGGCCGTGAAGGTCCATAGGGTTGTGAGACGTCGAGGCTCCCACATTTTCTAGACAATCGGCTCACAGATGGCGGTGAGGTTTTCAGCCTGGCTGCGCTTTACTCCCCAGGAAAATAATTTAATTAATTCCCGGTACTCATTTCTGTTAGAGGTTGAGTCGACCCCAGGGCCATAGTGCGACTGGATGGATTAGGTCAACTGAAAGAAATCCAACTACCTCTTCGAGACTTGAACCCGCACCTTCCTGGTTATAGCATAGTGCCTCAACCAACAATGCAACCGAGTGCCCCGTCACACACAACGAAGGAAACCTTATGTTGAACGACATCACTGGCATCATATGTTGGAAGCTGAGTCTAGAAACTTTCTGATCATGACGCAGAAATGTACTTTACTCTCTGATGGTGACGCGCTATCAGAGATGTTTCAGACGCAGTGTAGGAAAGGTGTGCCATATGAAACTCTTCAGTATCGACATTAAGAACGTGCTGACATCTCATGGATATATTCCAAACTCTTTAGTGCAAGAAGGAGACGCATTTCTTCTGTAGAGCTGGTTCGCGCTTACGCTGAGGAGATTACTGTCAACAAAATACGGCATTTAGAGGTACTTTATGTAAGTATTAATTGTAGTAGACTGTTCAGAATTTGTCATTATTTCATTCATACAGCGTTATCCATTCCGACTGTGGGCTCTGCAAGTGTGCAAACTAGTAACTACTCTAACTGGATATCCTCAGTAGCAATTAAGGTTTTAATGTCCAATGGTATTTATATGCACCACCTCCTTTAACATACAAGAACTGTGCATTCTGCTCACACCGTGTATTTGTGTGTTCCGTATGGCTCTCACAATAAACAGAGACTGTTTCCCTAAACAGCATTAACCGGTTGGGCTTTGTAGCGGAGACGTAATGTGTTTCCTGTGAGGTACGAACTGAATTCTTATATATTGTCACGTGTTGGTTGTATGTCACGCGACAAATGACTTTACGCCGTATTGAATATAGCGAATTTATTCCACATTCGCTCGTACAGTTATACAATTCACAGTTTCCCAACTACTGCCATCGGCATTATCACAAATACGTTCCTGTTTCCATTCACTCCGGCGAATGTTAGACTGCAACTGACTGGTTACTACCTCTCACTGACGAATACTCCTGTTAAGTAACTTCGGCACTGACAACACAGAAAACACTTACGTGATATCTATCACTGTTGCGTAACGTCTTGTTTACAGGCGTTGCTGGGGAACACTGCCGAGAGTTGTTTATCGCTACGTAATAACCGCGGAGTCCCCTGTTACATCACCGCGGTGGAGGGGACGGAGTGTTGACTGGCCTGTTACCGTAGCAGCGGCAGTTGCTCCGATGCTGTTACGTCACTGCTGGAAGGGGGTGTTTACCGAGTGTCGGGCCGTCCACATCACAATATTATTTGGAAGTGTATCTGTGTTTTCCGTATAGTTCTCACAATAAACAGCGGCTGTCTCCCCAAACAGCATTAACCAGTTACGTTTTGTATTGGTGAAGTAATGTGTTTCCTGTGTGGTACGGACTGAATTCTTATTACTTGGAAGTGTATCTGTGTGTTCCGTATGGTTCTCACAATAAACAGCGACTGTTTCTCCAAACAGCATTAACCGGTTGGGCTTCATAGCGGAGACGTAATGTTTCCTGTGAGGTACCGACTGAATCCCTGTATATTATATTAATTACAATTTTAATCTTTAAAGAGTTAACAGCATGATATACTGTGGTGTTGGGCACTCTGATGTCTTAATTTGGGAAAAACTAATTTTGTTGCCAGTTATGCTCCTACTGTTGTATAAAAGGAAATATTCACTTTACAGCCACAGAATGACAATTGAAAACAGTGTCTTACACACGGCACCTTTACTTTACAATTATCCGTCCATTCAAATTTACAAACAGATACCGTACCTGAACCCTGGACTCCGGAAGGTTAATTTTGAGGGCCACTTCCTCCCTCATGAAGATGTCTGGGTAGCGGGTCTTGTCGAACAGGGCCTCGAGGACGTCCAGCTGCGCCCGCGTGAACGTCGTCCTCTCTCGGCGCTGCTTACGGGGGTTCACCCCTAGAAGTATACCGCAGCCAAAGCGGTAAATACTGAGATTAGTACTGGCAGTTCAGCACAGGTTACATCAGGGGCTTTACCATACACAGCGCATTGTCCATACAGAATACGCATGCGCTCCAAATGGTTCTCTCAGTAAACAGACTTCCCTGTATTGTCTTAACAGGATGGTCTCTTTAGTGGATAAAAATGCGTTTACTGTGAGGTAAGATAAAGGTAAGGCTATCCCTGTAATAAGCCATACAGGCCCATTGGGTTGTTAGACGTCGTGGATTTCACAATCTGTAGAAAATCGGCCCTCAGATGGCGGTGAGGTTGTCAGCCTCACGCTCCGGCAGCTTTTACCCCCAGGAAGTTTCCTGGTGCTCATTTCTGCTAGAGGCTGTGTCTACCCCCGGGCCATAGAACGGCTGGAAGGAGTAGGTCAATTTAGAAATCCAATAAGCTCATTAGGAATCGAACCCGTGACCTCCGGCTTGTAGCATAGCGGTTTAAGCGAGTACCCTACCGCGTGCCCTCTTGAATGTGAGGTAGGGGTTGATTATTTTAATGAGCAGCTTTGTTTTACTATTCTGACATGTAGACCTGTTGCCAAATAGCAGTTGTGTAAGCAGGCGATCGTATAACAGCCGTTGCTAGGGAACAGTTCTACGGACATATTCTTTTCCCGGAAATGATAAAGCACGCAGTAATGGAAGAGACATTTGGTGTAGTACGTGCCGGTGTGATATAACCTACCCTATGTATAGGCTTATACACTGTGCAGGCGAAAAGCAGAAATCATACAGAATCATAAGAATGGACGTATTCGCGGTATAGGGCAAGCAAAGCAAGACATGTTAAATATAAGAGGCTTAAAATTGACTGTGGTGAAGCGTACGACCGTCTAAGTGAGTAAGCAGCCGTTGTAGCATAAGATCTTAATAACAAGCTATAGGTGCAACACATAACTTGATAAAGGCCAGGCATATTCATAAGACAGACACATATCTTCATCGTGAGAGTGGATGTTACATAAGGACTATGACCGCAAGGGTTCACTTTCAAAAAGATCTCTGGTCGTGAGTCTCAAAGGCTTGGCGCCAAGACGGACTGAGTGGCGGTCAACCGCAATTCGTTCAGAAACTCTGATTGAGTTGCAGTTGTGAAAAGCTGGCAGCTGAGGCCAGGGAGAGTTTGAGAACCCAGAGAAAGAGGAAGGTTCGCGGTTGGAAGCAGATACCAAGCAACGGTTATTGAAGACTGAGCAAGCTTGATGTGTGCTGTAGCTACGGAGAATGTAACTCAGTGAGACTGTGTATCTCTTTGTAGTTACGTTTGCAAGTGTTCAGTAAATCCGATTACCAATCCAAACCCAATCACGTGAAACTGTGAGCTTCAGACTTGTTAATAAAATACATACAGGTTAGCACGCAAAGTGGATCTGTCAGTAAAATGTCAGTTCCCATCTGTGAAAGGGGCACATAAATATCTTTCTTGTGAATCCCACAAAAAAAAAATCCATAAAATTCAGACAATTGGTTTAGAATTTAGGTTCACTGTTTGTACAGTTACAATGCACCTATANGTTGCCGGGATTCGAACGCGGGCCGTTCATCCCGTCGCTACTCCGACAGAGCTCTCCCGGACCCTAATGTATCTACCGGGTGTTCTTATATTTCGCTTCATGAATAACACGACATAGAAATGCACTGCCAATTGCATGCAGCAAATGAAGTGTACTAAGGCCGCGCCATAGCTCAAGCGGTTAGTCTCTGGCTTCCCACTGCGGTGGCCCGAGTTCGATCCCGGGTCTAGTCAAGTGGGATTTGTGGTGGATAAAGTGGCGCTGGGTCAGGTTTTCTCCGAGTACTTCGGTTTCCCCTGCCAATCTTCATTCCACAAATTGTTCCAAAATCACCATCACCTATCATCTGGGGCTGGTGAAATAGGCCAGAAGTGGACGCAGTACAAGGGACTTAGTCCCAACCCACTAACAATAAAAAAGGGGGGTGTACTGAGGCCGAAATTTACCGACGTTTAGGAGTAGATTACTGCCTCAGGGTGTCGATGATATACGGAACGGGAAACACGCTGAGTCAGCTTTCTTCATCATTTCTTGCTCCCCACTTGCTTGGCCTATTCTCAGCTCTAAATATGAAGCAAATTCCTCCGAATCGTCGATTAACTACCGCATTAATCAGCGTCACATCCCAGAAGAGGGTATCAGTGCATTAGTCGCCTCTGTGAGAAGCCCACATCTTAGTTAACACAGTGAGTGGAGCAGCCACTTGCATGGGAAGCTAATAGTTGCTCAGCTGCTTATACTTCACACATTTTATGCAACCGGAAGGTTCATTACCGCGTTCACAAGAGCCTGCTACCGTGTTTAATTAAGCACAAAGCCATGAAGGCGTGTGGAGTGGAGGTATAGATCCAGACATTCTTAACCACGGAATAGATGGAGGAAATTACTCCTCTTGTCCACTGAATATGAGGGTCGGTGGCACCAGAGCCGGTTTGGACGCTGTAAGGTAGTGAAAATGTTCTTGCTTCTGTCGAAAATCGACCCCTGATTCCTTGGTCGTTCAGGCCTTACCGTGCAAGGATGGGATGGAAATAAATGTTACAGAAGAACCGTTACATCTGACGTCATCTGGCCTGGAAATCCTCCAGCGATGAACGGAATGTAGGAAGACAATAAAATCAGCGATTTGAAACAAAATAAACAAAACCGATCAAATAATCAAATATTACTACGTCACATTTGAACCGAAGCAATGGACTGCCAGTTAGCAGCTGTTGAATAAACAACTGGCGTCATAGCTGGGCCGATATGAAATTTCATTCACCATTGTGCGCATGTCACGAAATCTTCTGCATAATTACAGCGACCCTTTTCATAGTTAAGTAATGGACCAGTCCACATTCAGACGGAACACGCAGCTACAGTCCAAGCCTGGGAAGTGCCTGGGATAAAACGTGAAGACCAACTACATATAGTTACATTCTTCAGTAGAATTTGGCGGTTGAACACAGTTTCGGCAGGAGCACGCGGTAGCGTAGTTGACTGAAACACTATGCTACAAGCCGGAAGGTCGCAGGTTCGAGTTCCGTTGAGGTGGATTTTTATGTGCCTAATTCTTTCAGCGCTCTATGGTCCTGGGGTCGAGCCAGCCTCTAACAGAAATGAGTACCAGGAATCTTCCTGGGGGTAAAGGGCGGCCGGCGCGTAAGGCTGACAAACTCACTGCCATCTGTGAACTTATTGTCTAGAAAATGTGGGAGCCTCGACGTCTCACAATCCTATGGCCCTCCATGGCCTGTTAAAGGGATAGCTTTACTGACTTTTGTTTGCTTGTGGTTGACAAATCAAAATGGAAGTGGGGTCTCCTGGAACCCGGTAGCAGTTCAGCGTGTTCAGAGGAGCGTCGGAAACCGAAATGCGATGTTGCCAAGTTCGCATCTGTCACATTCACGATATCGTAAATTATCTTAAGAATTTGTCGAAGCCAACCTAACGAACTTATATCGTAGTATTCAGGGTTATAGGTTTAGTCGATTCCTAACTGATCGTATGTATACATACACTTCATTAGAACAGTTCCGCAATGCTACATTTGGCACCACTGTATGCACCATGTCCCTTGACTCTTCTGCACTCATTTACTCCCTTGCAAGCCACATTACAAAATGTGGCATTTAGACCCGTTGCTATGCAACGACCGTGAAAGAAGCAGCTAATAAACAACCGTTGCTAAGCAACGGCTCCTTCAACAAGCATGCTTCAAAAGCAGTAATTAAACAGCAACTGGGGAACAGTGTTTTTTCTGAGGTCCTTGCCGAGAAATTTTAAGCAGGATAGTGGAGACAGTTAATTGAGTTCAGTGAGTCAGTGAAGAGTTTGTGAGCTTCTGCTGTTCAGTAATTGTGAGCTGTTACGGTCAGAACCAGAAAGTAAAGTAACTATGCCACGGGCTTCAAAGCTGAGGTACTGGGATTCGATTCTTTTACACAGCGTTCTGATTGATCCTAGGACCCACCCAGCTTATCAAATGGTTTTTTTTCCTTGGCAATACAGCCCCAGTGGGCGTAGGCCTACCCCCATGAACTTCTCCGTTCACTTCGGTTTTTCTAGATCTTTGACATTCGGTAGGACTCCTTGGGCGGGTGATCAGTTCGCCGCAAGGCCTCTACCTGTACACAAACACAGAAAAACGCACACACACAAACTAAACATCCATGCCCTGAGTGGGATTCGAACCCACGATCCCGGCTTCCGAGCGAGCGAAGAAAGTGCATGCCTTAGACCGCTCGACTACCGTGACCGGATATCAAATGGTTACCGCGGATTATTTTCGCAGGCGTAAAGCGGTCGGAGCGTGAAGCTGACCACTCACCGCCATCAACTGCCGAGGTTAAGAATGCGTGAAACTACATCTATTATTTTCCATATGCCTTTCATGTAAAAGTGAAAAGTTAAAAGTTGTTTGTGTCATTAAATAATTAAGCAATAATCCATGAAGATACGTGAGGGAGTGGAGGTATATCTCCACCGTTCATGACTTCGAGATTAGCTAGAGGTGTGTGGTCAGATTCAAGCCCTGGCCGCTTTACTCGCGGGGAAAGAACCCCCGATGCTCATTGAATATAAAGCCGGATGGGCCCCAGAGCCGGTATGGGAAATGTGGAGAAGACAAAAAAAGTTGCCCTGTCAGCAATCGAACCCGGGCCATGCAGGCCGTCGCTATAGCTTTGTTCAATCAAGTACACAGGCAACTTTATAGATTCACGGCGTCACATGCTATAGCCCAAGAAACCGTTGAAATCACGGGTGTGAGAACTCCGTATCTCACTAGAGAGGGTAAATTTCAGCAGAAGTTTACTGTCCCGGAAGTGACGTTGGTGTTCAACATTTACACGAATGTGAGTGTTCAGCACAGATATGGGGGTGTGGGGAGTGAGGGGTTGCTGCTGTGTGTCCCCCCCCCCTTGCCATCAGAGCTTCTCCGAGCGCCGGA